ATAAAAATTGAGGGCAAAAAGGCGAGGTGACATGCTTCAGAACAATAGCAGTTGTTATATTTGACAAGCAGGTTAAATAAGGAACTCATGTTGACCTTTAAAAGTTTGCAGCTGTTAATGACATAGAAATTCGGTAGAAAGACACAACAGAAAAGAATTCGAATGAAAGCTATTCACATGGCTCAACTAGTAGAGCTGTCAGAGACATGGCTAATGAGTTACTCATAAGGGTGATATGAATGAAATTAAACTAATTCACAATAACACACAAACAAGTAAATAACTTTACTCAGTCTAGTGATGACCTAATTAACCCTTTTCGACACTGTAATTATGACCAGCTTTGTAGGTCAGCATGTAGGAACAATTTAACATATTTTTGGTGAGGAATTGATGAAAGTTAGAGGGACATTGGAGGTTAGAGAGTACTTGACATCTTTTTCTTTCAAGTGTAGAATTTTTCGACAGTGGGCACTTGCAGCTATATCAAGGATTTAAGTCAGTAATTTCAGGTTAGTAGGTGAGCCCATGGAACATTCAGTCACCGGGTCGAGGCTCAATGACTCGTGAATCCTAAATTCTGCTAGTTCGTGCAGAATATAGTTGACTATCTGTCAACACTCTCCACAGGGTAGATTCTACTGGTGGCAACTTCTAGTTAAATCTCTAGGATGTTCATCGGTTAGTAAGCTCCTTATGACCAGTGACGAAATTCGCCTTGAAATTAGTCAAATCCTTACAGGGTGACAGCTGAGAAATAATGTATCCCCTGTTATTTCACACACTTAATTCCAAGATTATTAAAACGATTAGTCCCTTTGATAAATTTGAACAAGGCATTAAGAAGACAAATTTCGCGAGATGATATCCAAGATTATTGTTGTAAATAGGGTTTTAGTTCGAGGTGTTTGTTTGCAATCTTTCCAGGTGAAAAAAATGTTTTTTTCTGTAATCAGGTCTTAAATCAACAGAAGACATGACTTTTCACTTATTTGACAAACACGCATAGCAAATAAATGAGAAGGATGTTATCCACACATTCCTACACATTATTTAGGATACGTGATACTGACAGATCAAAATATCCTTTTACTCCCTGGCAGTGTGATGTTTACTCTTACCACATAGTTTCATATTTTGGACAATCTGTACAGTTCAGTTTAATTGTGATGCTTGTCATGACTCTATGTGACGTACATTCAGATGGTGTACACTACTTTGAATTCATGTCACACTTCAATACTGTCCACTGTGCTTAGATTTCAGCCAAGTATATCAAATTACAATTCAAAAATAAGGCAGTTATCAACGATATTAGATGGTTGGCGGTAATTGGCAAGCAGCCTCGGATCTAAGTTTCGTGCTAGTTGCCAGTTGTTAGCAAGACTTATCTGCAAAGTTGAAAGAATTCATGTCTCTGACTGCAACACTGGAGGATGCAGGTTCGAATCTCAGAAGGGATATGAGTTCCTTCAAGGTTGCACATACGCCTTGCTGTTGGTGAGTGCCAACTAGCACGAAACCTAGGTTTAAGACTGCCTGCCGATTGCTTCCAAACAGTTCAAAATGCACAATGATGATGAGCCACCTAGCATGGTGTCCGTATTGCAGACTTGACTGATAATATCTCGTTTGCATCAGACCAAGGACTAAACACACTATACTAGTCACTAACTAGTGTCCAGTCAAAAGTACAGCTATCAATGCTTAGCAGTGGTAACCGATCCATAAGTCAAGTATAACGGCCAGCCTGTGAAAAGAACTCCTAGTGCATTGTACTTACTAATGAACATTAGAAATTAATGAACAACAAGCTGTAAGCCTACCTACCAAGCCTACTGGTATTTATCAACAGAAATTTAACATGATATAGCAAGGCCGATTACAGCACAACTTGATTTCTGTCTATAATGCTGAGAAAAACTGATTTTGATCTCAGTGAGATCGTGCATTTACTTGATTAAGTGGCTTCGTTAACTGAGCAGAACTACAAGAAGTGTTTAGCATGCATATGTTCTATATAAAAGGAAGTTCGTATCTATTGATGTTCTCCTGAAAATCACATTCACAAATTTAAAATTTCCTCTTAGTTAAATTAGTGGCTCTCTGTAGATGGCACAGTAGTAGAATTCTCGCTGATCACGCATGTGGTTCGGGGTTCGGTCCCCAGCAAACGCATTCCTTTACCTCGCTAAGCTGGTGACAAGAACGGCACCGAGAGAAGGTTGGGCACGAGGCTAGCGACCCCATATCGTAAAAATAAATACCACTCCTACTGGAACTTTAAAGCTTTGGCTTGAAGCCTTATTTTCCTTCAAGAACATAAAAGAATGAAATAAAAATAATAATAAAAAATTAGTGGCTAAATTAAAATAGAATACTTCAAGTTCTTAACATTAGATAACGTGGTATTGTTTAATATTCGGTGACCAGAAAATATTCAGCTTGGTTTTTATCCTTCTTTGTCTTCTCGAGTTGAACACAGGGTTTGAAGCCTTAGTTTTGGAGTTTCAGCAGGGCTGGTGTTTTTTAATGGGTCGAGATCGCTAGCCTAACACTCAGCCTTCTCGTTTCACTAAACCTACTACCTAAGTAGGGCCAAGTGGGTCGGCGGGGAGTCGAACCCTGAACCACTTGCGTGACGGGCGACCAGTCTATAACTAAACCACCGCCGTACCTGATGAGTACTCGAAATTATTCTAATTTCATTATTCTTAACTCCTTAATTGTCCCTACTAGTAATAATAGTGTATGGAATATGGTATTATAATTTCCAGCAACATAACATCTTCGGAAATAACGACTATTTTTGATTGAACTATCTACTAATGTGTAAAGACGTAGTATACCAATGGGATTTGGTTAGTTTATCAGAAAGAATTTAGCTGCTTTCTAGTATTACATAGTACGGGGAATGTTAGCTTTCATATAAGTGGATTTTTTTCACGCATTTCTGGTGAAAAAGAAATATTTATATTCTCTTAGCTGGTAATTATTCTTGCTAATTTTACATCATTTTAAGAATATGCATCAATTTTGTTTTTCTGTACATAACCAAACTGTCCGAAACAAAATAACATCAAAAAATCCTCTCTTTTCTATTGATTATAACAACTAACTATACAGATATTATGAAGAAGAAAACAGAACGTCAGCATCAAAATAAACAATCTATTGCCTCACCAATGTTGCCTTCATTGTCAACAACTCCATTTTCTAGTCAAATAAAATCAATGGGTGATGAGCTAAGCGAAAGACGAGCAAATCAACGAAAAGAGCGTTCACGTTTAGCTGCACAAATAAGACGAAATCGTGAAGGTCAAAGTTTAATGTTAATACAAAACGCTTTGCCAATATCTTCCTATGTGTTAGGGTTAAGTTTAGTTCATTTGAATTCTAATTCATTCAATTCTGCTGGTGGAATTACTCAACCTTCATCAAAGAATAATGAACTAGGAACAGGTGTAAATAATAATAATAATAATTCACAAAAGAAATCCAACAATTCTATTGGAACAACAATGAATACAACAGAAGCGGCATCAACAAGCCTAGTGACACCGCCTACAACGATTTCAAGTACACCTTCAGCTATTAACTTAGAAAAGACCGGAGTACTTCGTATTGCTGGACATACATTGTTTCTACTCAACAAGCTGTCTTCATGTAAGTTCTATTTTTTGAAGTTTAAAAGAGATCTAGTTAACAGACTGTCTTATTAGTAGAATGGCAGTAACCAGATTTGTACGGGCCGATGTCCAATAAAGTGGTTTATTAAGAAATGTGAACAATGATCATTTATTTGATCCCCTTACACAGCAGTGTTTAGAAAATCTAGGTAGGTATCTGGTTTGATGAAAGACATTTGCATAATTGGTTACAGAATCTCATCATGAGCTGACCTCCGTCTGATAACCATTGGAAAACCCACCAGAGAGTAGTGGAGAGCTGTTTCGACCTAACTTGGGACTCTTGATTAGTATGCAGCCACTGGGATTCTAACCCAGGACCTTCTGGTTGCACACCAAGCTCGCAAACGATTAAGCTACTGGGACCCTATCCACTGGCTCATTAATTTCAACTTCTGCCTATTCACGACATAGCACGACCGCTAGCCAATGTCTTCGGCGAGTATTTGTCCTCATACCCGACCTGCTGAACCCCACTGGTAACGTCTTCCCACTATAACCCAAGATAACTATCTACCTAAATAGGGTAGGTAATGAAGTTCAAGCAGATAACTACGTTCCACAGTTAATTTTCATAAAACACTGAACCGTTAATATAAAATTGGTTGATTTGAATTTTAGAAGAACTTAGAATCACTTCACATAACAGTCATCATCAATTTATCATTCCACGTTGTACACAAAAAGTCGTTTCATCTTTCAAAGGATTAAGACAGCTGGTGGTATAATTTAGGTATAACAGTGTGATGCTCTCCAGGTTAGAGATCCAATGTGAATGTCTACCTAACTTTTTTCTCACATCTTGTGTTGTAAACGTGAAAACGTCTAGAAAATACAGAATCAGGACTTCTGATGCATTATCAAGCAAACTTGGTACATCAATGGTTCAGTATTAGAATGTCTTCTAACCATGCACATAGTCTGCATTGTATCCCAGGTCGACTCGTCGCTAAAGCTTCCCTAGTTTACTAGACGATGGTAAACCTGTAAAAGGGGAAAAGCTGGGTGTGAGAGTGACACCACCCCATGAAACAACCTCAGCGCTAATGAAACTTCAAAGGTTGAGACATTATGTTCTTCCAACAACTCAAAGAATGAGAAGAACTGTAAAAATAAGTGACTATTAGGCTCCTTTCAAGAAAATCAGAAGTGTTCTTCCAGTAATCTTCTCAAAGACCAGAAATGTATTAAGAGCAGAGCAGAACAAAACTGGATGTTGTGCAGTGGCCCTTTATTGCGACAGTTGATTGGAAACTTGTTTTCGGTGCTTGAAGTGGTGTAGTTTAACGAATTTGGCCTTCTGGGTGCTAAGAGAAATTGTATTTACCATCATGCGTCAGAGTGAATATAAACCTTATTCTATTTCCAAACTGTATACTGACAAAGACTGGTTTATAGAATACTGACTCTAAATATATAGATAACTCTAGTGTTAGGGTATTTCTAAAACTAACTATTGGTCTTGTTCTATGTTTATAACAAGTAGGACTTTTATCTTAAATGATCCCTATTCCCAATACATTTAGAACTGAGAATTTGAGAAAGTTTCCCCAACAGCAACACTTCATAAGTTTCCCGATCTCTGAGAAAAGGTTATTAATTTCAGCTTCGAAGATGTAAGTAGTGCTGGAGTTTTGTTATTTCTAAGTAAATTGATTTTCAATTTATTTTTTGATTATCATTCGGCAGTGAGATAAAAATTAGTTTCCATCATAAAGTACTTTTGTAATAAATATGTATGTAATTGTCATTAAATGTATAACAGGTTATAGTTTTACCTTAAAATAGTAACATAAAACAGTCAATATGATTTATATGTTCAATTTTAGATCTTGGACTGCATGCAAAACTCAGCATTGCTTTAAATAGTCGTTCAGTATACGGAATGCTGATTGATTCTAAGGAATTGAGAATTGCTTATGCTACACCATCTTTAGCTGACGCTGTTGGATGGCCATGGGTAGGTGGTATTTATTCATCTTTCTTTTAAAGTCGAATATTTTATGTATTGGCTAATTCTAAAATATACACTTGTGCGTCAGTGGCACAGCGGTTAGGACGCTGGCCGACCATGCACATGGTCCAGGGTTCGATCCCCAGCCACTGGAGGCACTCCTTTACCTCTCTAAGCCAGAAATAATCCTGGTAAAGAGGAAAGGTTGGGCATGAGGCTAGCAACCTCATCCTGTAAAAATTAAACACTGCTACAGAAACTTCAAGCTTGTAGCTTGAAGCCCTATGTTCCACTGGGGAACATGCAGAAAAAAAATACACTTGCTTATTTTATAATTAGGTAGCGATTTGTTAAAATCTAGCATAAGAGAATATTAAGCATTCTTAGATCCTATACTTATCTACAACAGTATGAGGAGAATAACAAAGGTGTTAATAAACTCGGTAGAATTTATGCTTCGTCGACTTTCAAAAGCACTATTCGATGTTGTGTTTGTAAGCCACACTGATGACGCAAACTACAAGTCTGACTGACTATAAGCAGAACCAGACAAGAGAAAGAAATAATAGTGCTGCTTACCGTTTTCACAGTGACAGCATTTTCGACTGTAGTGCTGTACACCTGAAGGGCACATCTGTAGTGCCTGTGCCTTTGGGTTTTACAACCATCAGTTACGTAACACTCAAGTTTCATACAATTCAACTGAAGGTAAAGCGAATAAGTAAGCCATTATTTTTACAGACATAGTGAAAATATTGATATTTCCTTCGGGAGGAAATTCACTGAAAATCGTTTTTATTCTCATTGGTTCGTTTTCAAATCATATTTCCTTTTTATTGCATAGATTTAAAATCATAAATTGCTTACTGAATGCAAGTTCGTGTAATTCGAATATCTGTCTACCCAAATAAATATATCTCTTCAAAATTTATGATCCACATTCCTTCGGAAAGAAATGCACAGCTGACAATGAAATGCTATGAGTTGCGTTGGAATTTATTCCAAAAAAGTAGCAGGATTTGTTAAATTTGTTAAAAATATTGTAGTCATCGTTAAGAACACAAAGAACATAAAAGTGCAGAGGTTGTATAAATAACACCAGTAATTATTTTTGTTTAACTATTTGGCACAAATTAAGACTAAGGCAGTTTTACTTTTCTTCGTGTTAACTCTTATTATGCATCAGCGGTCTAAATAAATATCATTTTCAGGATTTCATCATGAGCTGACATTAGTTAGAGAACCATTGGAAAACCCACCAGGGAGTACTGGACAGCTGATTCGTCCTTGTTTGGGACTCTTCAGCAGTACGCACCCACCGACAGGGTTAGAACCTAGGACCTTCCGGTTACAAGGCGAGCTCGTATACCATTTAGCCTCCGGGACCCGATCCCCAACACTTAAATACCAATGAGATGCTCACTGGCGACTGGCCCTATTCAGGTAGGTAGTTACCTGGGTTCCAGTGGGAAGTCGTGACCAGTAGGGTGCAGTCGGTTGGGTGTGAGGACAAATACTCACCGAAGACATTGGCTAGCGGTTGCGCTATGTCGTGAATTGGCAGAAGTTAGAATTCAAGGACCATTGGATCGGGTCCCAGTGGCTTGATGGTATACGAGCTCGCCTTGTAACCGGAAGGTCCTGGGTTCTAACCCCGGTGGGTGCGTACTGCTGAAGAGTCCCAAACAAGGACGAATCAGCTGTCCAGTACTCCCTGGTGGGTTTTCCAATGGTTCTCTAACTAATGTCAGCTCATGATGAAATCCTGAAACCAACCAAATCCCTACAAACCAACACTTAAGTATCCTTTTGTAAAGCATTTAGGTCTAGTGGGATGATTAGTGTGTAATGTTGTGATCTAAATTTCCCACTAGGGTGTGAATTAGAAGGAGAAAAAGATTCAGATTCTGTTGAATAGCATTCAACTCTGACAGGATTGTAACAACCATAAAACCTTCCAGCTATTTACCGTGATTACATCTGTCACTTCAAAGTCTTATTTAATGATGGCGGTAGAAATATATTAAAGGGAAATTTTGTTTTAGGAAATATAAATAGTACTTGAAAGGAATCCAATCCTTACAAACCAGTACTTGAATATTAATCAAGTGCTCATTAGTGACTAACAACTAGGAGGATTCCTTAGAATTGTGATGAGATGTTGTATTTGTGGTGAACACCATTTCGGGTGTGAAGATATGTGTTCATTACATTGTTAAGTGGTTATCATATACTACTAATTGATAGAAGTTAGAGTTCGTGGGTCAATGGATTCCTACTTAGTGGCTGAATGATAATTTTCTTGCCGAGTAAACCTGCATTAAACGCCTGGTGAAGTCTCTAGTATATACCACTGGACAATCTCAAAGTGAGATGAAAAAGCTGTCCAGTGGTTGGTAGTTTTCGTTGATTCTCTAACCGATATTGGTTTAAAAGTCAATCTGAACGAAGAACATTCTTTTCTTCAGGTTCTTAAAATTATAAAATATAATATTTGTAGTCGTTACATGGATGGCACTTTTGTAGTGTACATTGAGGAGTTACATAGTGATTTGATTTTGAGCAACTTCAATAATGCTCAACCAGCGGTCCATTTCACCTACGAAGGAGAATACAACAACTCTGCATTTCTTCGACGTCCTACTAACTAGAAGAAAGGATTGTTCCGTTAAAAGAACCATATTTAGAAATCTAGAACGCAAAGCTCAGTACACACACTCCCTTTGCTTTGTATTTATGAAATACAAAGGTAATCTGATTAAGTGCTTAGAATTGAGAGCGAGGTCTAGAGAGAGAAAGATAGAAATACCTCCAGGTGATCCGGGATATTCTAAGCGGATATTCGAAGAAGTTCATCAACATAAGTGAGTATGATCATAAACATGAACTACCAACTGTAGAGAAAAAGCCTCTCTTTTTATGTCTGCGGTTCAAGGGAGACACTTCCGCGGAGATCCTATCGCAGCGTTTCACCAAGATGATGATGAAAACTTCCTACTCTGCACATCTGTTCCTATCCTTCAGCAACCGTCCAGTGTTCACTCAGCAACTAAAAGATGTCTTACCTAACGTTAGCTCTTCTTCATGCATTTAACATTTCAGCTGTTCCTGTGGTTCAGGTTGCATAGAGAGTACGATTAGGCCGGTTCGTCTAAGGGTTTGAGAGCATCTACCAGCTTGGTTCAGCAAGAGGGAAGTGAAGGGTATATAAAGATAGATTCTGTCACATGTGGTCGATACTGGACATCGTATCGACGCCAATACGGCCTTCAGGGTTATATACCGAATTCTGAAGTCGTTATTCCGTACGGTTCGTTTACGTCTCCTACGCATTGCTGAAGCTGTTGCAATAAGGTCAACTAAATTGGAACTTTGTATCCAAAATGAACACGTTCAGATGCCGTTTCTATCGTGGCCAAACTTGGATTAATGTTTTTTCTTCTCGCCAAGAGCGCCTGTAGCTCCTATTTCCCTGGTTTTTTGCTTTGCCTATTATTACAACTATTATTCGTTATAATTTATACCCATCTGTTTCATTTCACATATTGGTTATTTCATGATGAACCTCTCATTACTATCTCCTCTTTAATGCATACCACTTTTTAATAACCACTCAACTGACACCTTTATAACCTTGAAACGACTTGTCAGTTTTTACTACCCCCCATCTACAAATCTGTTATGACTAATCACCACCATTGTCTCTTATTTCACAATACTTTGTGATTGAATTCAACCTAACACGTTTATCACACAAAACTTATTTATAACTGGTCTGTTATTCTACGGAAAAATGTGATATTGGTTTGTGAAGAAATCCACCTTGAAGTCAATTGAATCCCAATCAACAAAAGCTTGAAAATATATAAAACTGTTTAATGTGCATATTATAACTGTAGAAGGAACATTTCTTGAATTAATGCTGTAGATTTGTATCTTTTTACATTTTATTTATTTCACTAAGTGAGATATTCCTCCTTTCTACCCTTCAAATGATTATCATAACCTGATAGTTTTCTTTTAACCAGTTTGAAGTTAAGTGTCATTTGTATAGGCCCAAATGTTTCAGGCTTCTAAAGATTACCATGATGTTTCTATAAGTACACTGACAAATATTTTAATAATACAGATTGAAGTATACGGATGTATCAAACACCCTTATTTCAGTAGTAGTTCATTTTGAACTAGCTCATATGAGCACTCTACGTTGGTGGTTCAGCAGCTCACCAGCCAAGCGAAAGGTTCGGATTCGATATCCTGCCGACGCAATCCTATGCCTTGTCTAGTCTAGTAGCCCGCAGTAATCATATAAAATAGGGAAGGTTGGGAGTTGGGCTAGCAACTCCGATTCCATTGCTACTGGAAATTAAAAGCGTAAAGCACTATGTTCCACTCGGAATGCAAAAAGAATTGAAAAAATAACCAGGATTATATTTTCAAAACGATGTGAAATGTTTCATTAAATTCCCTCTTAAAGATTAAGTAGTGTTTATAGTTAGATGCATTTTTGAGTAGTATGGTTTTAGTGTTCGTTCCAATCATTTTGTTTTAATTCAGTATTCAGTAATATTTAAACACTTTTTTCTCATTTATAATTATCGACATGTCATCATCTTAACTGATACTCCCAATATTTTCTTTGCCTTTTCCACAGATAAAACTTTTAGGTGCTCCATTACACAAACTTGTCAAATTCACGGAATCATCTCCGAATTCTAAGGAAATTACAAAGAAATTATTATCTAAATCCCATTGGTCTTCATTAACCACTCAATCAACTTTTAATGCGACAAAAAATGCTTCCATCTCTGACTCTTCTTATTCTCCCGTCACTTCTAACAACAATAATAATTCCCCTGTAAATATTGAATCAAATAATGAGTTCAGTCTACCTGAATTTATAACCTTATCCAAGTTAATTCCTTACAAACAACCAACATTGTCTACAACAAAAATTAATAAACCCGATGATATAAACTCCAAATATTCCCCAACTCTTCCTGTTAACACCAGAGGATTTGACACCAGTTTCAATATAAACAGTGAAATAAATACTGAAGTTAATTCTATCAAAGATAGGATGGAGTATAAAATATCTAATCCTCATCGATTAAAACGTTCAGATCGTTGTTCAACTTATAACAAATATCCCCTTTCATCATCTGTAACAGGAGTGTCATCTTCGAATGCTACATCAAATACGATTAGTTCAGGTGATAATAGTAGTATTAATAACAGTGATAATTTGACATTTAATGATTGTAGTTCATCAGCAACGAAATCATTTGATCAAAAGACATGGATTAATCCTACAGACAATGATAATGAATTGGTAAGTATAATCTTGAGTACTGTTCTCCACTCCTTTCTGCATTATTTCTTTCTAGTTAACTTCATCTAAATGTATAATAATACGTTGAAAAACTTTTTGTAACTAACTTCTTTATACGATCAGATTTGTGAAAACGAATTTTGAACGAGTAATACCTGATTTACCACGAAGATTGTACATATCTTTTGATAAATTAACTGTGAATATGATAAAGTAGACAGTGTGCACTCATTATTTCTCATAAGAGTATGTCTGTCTTGAGTATTTTATAAAATTACTGAAAACACCTTTTGGAAGAAACAAATGATTTTGATTGTTATCACTTGGAAGAACAAGCGAAAAAGATGGATGAAAGGAGCATTTTTCAAAATATCCTTTTTGTTCTGCAGATACTTCCTAAATGGTTGGAGGCAGTCGATAGGAAGCCTTGCTCGACCTAGGTTTCGTGCTAGTTGGCACTCGTCAGCAAGGCGTTTCTGCAATCTTAAAGGAACTTATGTCTCTTCTGGCTACATTTCAAAGTTAACTGATAGAATTCAGATATAACTATACACACTACACTAGCTAATGACTATTGTCCAATCCAAAATATGCAGTACAGTCCTACATTAGGTCAGCCGCGAGCCCGAATAGCTCAGTGTCAACTTCTCTGACTGCAGCATTGTGTGACTCAGGTTCGAATCTCAGAAGGAACATAAGTTCCTTCAAGGTTGCAGATATGCCTTACTGACTAGTGAGCGCCAACTAGCACGAAACCTGGATGGAGCAAGGCTTCATGTGGCCGATTGCCTTCAATCATCTAATATCATCAAATCAATGTGCACCGTGGTGGCGAGCTACCTAGAATGGTGGTCACATTGCAAACCTGACTGATAGAATTCAGTCTGCACCAAATTAAGGACTAGACAGATCACACTGGTTACTAGTGTCCCGTCAAAGATACTTCTTAGTTGTCAACTTTCCACTCACAATTGTGTAAATACTTCATTAACTCTAATTACTGATGATAAAGCTTTGGAAGACGCACAATAAACGATCAAGTAGTCATAACCATCCTCCTGCAGATATTTTTTTAGTTATTTATAGTAAACAGTTAGCTAGTAAAACTATCTGAATTATCACAATAATTAAAAATATTGCCCCGGAATTAAACTAAAACGGTACTTATAATAAATGCTTAGGATCGAACAGTTTACCTTTCAAGGGCATTGAAAAACTGTAGAAATTTGATTTCCAAACTGGACTTTACTAGAATACCAATTCTAGTTGAACAAAGCAGGCTTAGGTATTTTTTTATAGCCTTTCCGTAGTACTAGCTGACTGAAGTTCATATCTCCCAGGGGATATTGATTCCTTTTAGGTTGCAGACGCCCATTATTAACAAGTACCTGGTTCAGGTCTTTCTTGCAAATGCCTTCAACCATTCATATCTTAATTATTTGCTAAGTACTTTGACACCTGTATAAGCAGTGAATATCAAAAGTAACTGTATTACTCACGCCCAAGAAAGTCTTAAAATTAAAGAGATAGTAGTCTGAACATTATTCGTCTAAGATTCACAATATAAATCAAGAACAGTAGGGTGCAGCCGGTCGGGTGTGAGGACAAATACTCGCCGAAGACATTGGCTAGCGGTTGCGCTATGTCGTGAATTGGCAGAAGTTAGAATTCAAGGACCATTGGATTGGGTCCCAGTGGCTCAACAGTCTACGAGCTCGCCTTGTAACCGGAAGGTCCTGGGTTCGAATCGCGGTGGGTGAGTACTGCTGAAGAGTCCCAAACAAGGACGAAACAGCTGTCAGTACTCCCTGGTGGGTTTTCCAATGGTTCTCAGGCTGATGTCAGCTCATGATGAAATCCTGAAACCAAGAACAAATACGTTATGTTTGTAAAATTTATCTAACTGAAAGGACATAGAGAATTTTGGCGTGAACTAGTCTCCATAGGTAACACTCAACAACAATATGTACTGTTATCATTTATATTTATATTTATAATGATAAAAGTAAAACTTTTGAGATTTTAAATCATCGGTGGATAAAACAACAAAATTAATCCGGTTAAGCACATAGTTACTAACAATATTGTTTGCGTGATAGGAACGAAGACATGGATGTTTCGAGTGTAACCCGAATATGTCGAAGTGTTAAAATGTGAATACTTTATGATCAGTTTCTGAGGATAACCTACTCGAAAATGTAAGAAAGTGTTTCAGTTTGCAATTTACTTCATGTAGTCGAAGGGATGTGTTAGCTTACTGAGTAACAAACTTTCTATGAATATACAAAGAAATCGGATTCATAACTTTGTTTATTACTGAAAAATTTGATAAGTCGTAGTGTGAAGGTAGTATTACATAACAATCTTTCTTGTTTTAGTCTAAAATACGCATTGATGTGTGAACTAAATATTTCAGTAAAAACCAGCAGCATTCATTTCTATGTCCTAGAGTCGCCTAAATGCAGTAAATCCCTTGAGTCAGTCACGATTAGGTGGTATGTAGAACATGATGCAAAGAAATAAGACAAATTGAAATATTTACCAACTTTATTTGGAAAGAGTTTGTGGTATATGAAAATAAAAGGAGTGAAAAAGAATTCTGAATTTTTAAATTTGTCTATCTTAAAGCCAGAAGCCGAATTTGGAGTATGAGTTATCAAATGTGCAGAAATTGAATTTTACGTAGATTGCATTACTTCTCTCTTTCCCCCCCCCTACTCATTACTTAGTTTGTTATCAAATAAGCTGTTGAATGACTATCATAGGGTATTTATAATAATCTTCCATTTTATTTATCTAAACAAATTTGACAGTCAGATAAGCATATAGAGGGTGATAATTCGTATGGTACAAGTAATTAGTTCCAGAAGGGGCTGACAGTGAAGACAGGACTCCAGGTAAACTAAAAGAAGACAGGGGTGATGAAGATAAACAACCAACGGCAAAAGCAACAACAACCAGCACCAGTCACCATTAACAGAAGAAATTCGGCAGAGGTCACTTCCTTCACTTATCTAGAAAGCATCGTTTCAAATACAAGCGGAACGGAATAAAATATCAAAGTCGGGAAGAATCGAAAAAGTAAGATACGCCTTCACCGACCTGAAACCAACACTTGAAAACCTGAAACCAGTTTGGAAATCCTCTACACTCAGTCAGCATGAACAACGAGATTTGGATTCTGTTCAACACAAATGTCAATTCGGTCAGCGCTTCTATACCGATCAGAAACTTCCACTGCGTGTGTCACGAAAAGCGTTTTTAACAGGTTACAGGCTTTCATGCCTTCACTGGCTCCATACTGAAGATCAAATGCCCGGCCGGCTAGCCAGAAAGAATAAGTAATAAAAAACTCTGACTGGGAAAAAACCAAGAGTCGGTCGCTCAACAAATATGTAGAAGAAAATAGAGATGGATCGAGAATACGTTGAGGAGGCTGTTGAATGACATAGCGCTCCTTGCAGGCCAACACTCGATTGGGATCCCAATAGAAGAGATGAGTGGGTTGTCGGTGCGAGGGTGAAATTGAGGAGATCGTGTACGAGGAAATGAGAGATTATAGGCAGTCGTGGGGTCAGCTAGCTGAAGAGAACAGCAGAAAATAGAACACAGTGGAGAGGTGTTGTCAAAGCATTATTTTCCACTCGGAACCTAAGTGTGTAATAACAATAATAATAATAAGGATATCAAAAATTAATCTGAATTAGGCATATACATTTGTAATATTGTCTATTTCTGAGGATAAATTAGAAACTGTTTTTCACGAGTAACTGTCACTTTCTAGCTCTTCACCAACTCTAGCTCACCATTATCATACTGCTTCTTTGTAAATTCATGGGATGATCCACAGAAAGGTGATGGAGGTTTCGTTGTCGATCTTGAACGGTGTCAAACATAGCAGTACCTTATTGAATATAGTGTACGGGATTTGCCGGATGGCATCTGAGTTTTCCAAAAGTTAGTTGGATTTGACTGAATAAGTTTTTGAAACAACTTTGTTTTTTCATATCGGTTTAGAAGTTCATCCGAAAGATCAATCTTTGTTCTTCTTCCGTTATAAGTTAAATGGACAAATGCTGAAATCCACCTAGCCGCTTCATCCTCATGGGGTTTTTACACTATTCTATTAATTAGTGAGATTTAAGAAAAGTGAATCATTGAACACTGAATCACGTAAACGCTATTCAGTCAAGTACTTTTGAAGAAAATATGGGAAAACTTTGAAATTCCTACTGTTTATGGTCTTGAACTGATTTTATTTCAGGAGAGTTAAAGAAACACTGTGTGATGACAAAGCCACAGTAATTGAGGAATGAAAATTATTAGCATAGCTAATGATTGCCTTAAGATGATATTAGTGATTTCGAGTGCTGAAGATGACAACAGGTATTTTTTCAAAGGAGTAAAATGCTACATCTTAGAAATGAGATTATTTATGCATTACGTTCATTAAATGTGCAACATAAACTCGTCAACGGATACGAATCGATGGGATGGTATATCACTTAACATTGACTAAGTTTTACCACTTAGTGAATCTTTAATAAAGTAGTAACTTCAAGAATACGTTTCATCATAGATTGATAATAGATAAATGGAAATGAAAACCTGAAAATTAGAGGATACACCGGGATAAAATGTAGTGTACAGAAATAACTTTGTCATTCATTCGCAAGATCCTTAAAGATCATCTTCATTTTTCAACTTCATTTCAATGATTAAACAAGTATCCATTAATACTATGTTCTGAACTCTGTAAAAACAATTCTAACCTGGAAGGCGTAACTTGGAGTTACTAGATTAGATCCAAAGTGAGAATAGAGGTCAGTGACATATATAGATTATCACTGTAGTATGTTGACGGGTGGCTGGAGAAAATCGTATCAGTAGTTAAATTGTATATCAGCAATTGATAAGTTATGCGATAAATAGGAGATATACTGCCTAATGACTTCTTCCTTTGGGTTAACAGGTACATCGACTGAAGAACTCTCTGGAGG